GTTTGAAGCAGATTAATCGCACATTGTACCTTGACTTGAAGATCCATAGTAACACTATCAGTACAGTAGCGTCACTACGGGGAGGGGGAGGGGGGGGGGGAGGGGGGGGGGGGAGGGGGGGGGGGGTGTCGCGGAGGGCTACCGCCCCGGGTGCCACTGACCCTGGTGACGCCACTGAACACTGTCCAAAGAGAGGGTGTCTATCATAAACAAATATTAGCGCGAAAGACAAAGGACAAGGGAGGAAAGGACAGGACAAGCGCTACTTTTAACTGACGTTTCAATGAAAAGATAAAGGAAGAAAAGGACGAAGATAAATTTATATGAAAAAGATAAAAAGAAAATTGAAAAAGGAAAGGATTTACAACAATGACTGAGATAATAAAAGAACGCATAATAAATTTAAAAAAAAATAAAGTGTCTAGCTGATGCTATGCAGCAAACTGTGCAAATGGATGTCGAAATCGGCCTGAACGCCTATTTAAAAATAGTTCTTAAATTAACTTTTTTTTTTTTTTTTTGTCACTGGCTCCCAATTTGAAAAGAATCCTAAATTGTTTTCATGCCGATCAACTCTGCAAAATGTCTTCATCTCCGATTCCAGGGCGACTTCTACGCCCGTTCGGGAGTGTGCCTGGCCTTGCACATCACAAATCAGAAGCCCTCCGGCTGGGAGTATTCGGTGGCCGTGTTCTTCTGCGTCAACTTTGCGGCGTTCGCGAGCATCGTGGCTGCGTACGCATACATGTATCTGAGCATCCGGAAGTCTAAGACGGCCGTCAAGAGGCACGCGGCGCGGCCCCCCCAAGGCCGACAGCCTGGTCGGCAGACAGATGGCGCTCATCATCCTGACCAACTCCCTCTGCTGGTTTCCCATGATCGTCATGGGGCTCATGGCCATGTCGGGAGTCCGCATTCCAGGTCTCTTTTACGCATCTAGTACATTCCAGCGGTACTCAGATCTGGGCAGATTAGTGACAGCCGCAGAAATAACAGTAGATAAACTTCAGGGGGCTGGGTATGCTATACTGCTACGACAAATGTATTCGAGAAAACTTCAGAGCCTACTCACATAACCATTCTTCTTGCTACTACCATTTCTCAGTTCGGTTTTAGCATACTTTTATAGTTTTAAGAATGTGACGAGCCTTGTCTCCGCTATAGTAAAGCAATCTGGTCATTGCAGTACGACTACAAACAAGAGGTCTTAAACACCACAATGCCCGTTCATCAAGGTTGTCTTTGCATCACTAGCTCTCGTTCCAGTATACTGAGGGTCGGTAGTTCGGCCACCGAACACTTGCTTTTCAGCCGCCCCCGTCCACGTTCTTCAACTTGCCTCGAATGGCCGTCCGTGCAGGAGAGGCGTACGCCTGGACGGCGGTGTTCGTGCTGCCCGTCAACTCGGCCACCAATCCGCTCATCTACACCATTGCATCGCTGAGATTCAGAATGTTTCTGCTGCGCATCGGCTTGGCCCGGAAGAAACACTCTTTGTCCATCAGCAAGGTGCTTGCACGTAAGTGCTTCCCACTGGAGCATTCCGTAACACCTACCTTGATGCCAGTGGTCCTGCATGAGTGTGTTTCGTGTCGTTGCTATAATTCTACGACAAAAAACGTAAACAAGAAGGATGACGACTGGAGCAGGACACACTGTACCCTGTTCAGACCGCAATGTCCATATTTCGTTGTTGTCGTGGTTTTTTACGTAGAACGATAGCGATGAGAAACCCCAGCTAGCCATACTGATACGTATCACTGACTCAGAATGTGGTGATGTTCTGGGCCCGTTGCGTGGGAAAGTTCCCGTGCAGACACAAAGTTAGGATATATGTATTTGCCATATAGTAGGGCTATTGATGAAAACAATAATACATGAGATTCTTGCTAATTGCCATGATCTGCGAGTGAGCAGAGGAGAAGCATCAAACTATTTACTAGGAGTGTCAAAAACGTCTGAGAGGCAACACCTCAACCTTTTTTCCGACACCACTGGAGGAGAGATTGTATTCCTGACCGAAAGCGTATTCCGAGTGCGTGATGCTTCCGTGGATCCTGTTGATTGGCTCGATCCGCGTGAGAAAATATTGTATTTCTTTTTTTAGAGCTCAGCTTTTAGGCGCCCGTTTCCGGCTTGAGCGGCGTCGGCGTAACCGCGCGGTGCATGATGGGTAAATTTTCTCGCTAAATTTAGCAGAAAATTTTCCCCGCTAAATTTAGCGGAAAACTTTCCCCGCTAAATTTAGCGGAAAACATTTCCCGCTAAATGTAGCGGAAAAATTTCCCCACTCAATGTAGCGGACAAAATTCCCCGCTAAATTTGGCGGAAAAAACTCCCCGCTAATTTTATCGGAAAATGTTTTGCTAAATGGGGGTGAGCAGGAGAGGAGGAGGGGCATAGCTCCCTCTCCGTACCTTCCCCCCTCCTCCTCAAGAGCTGCGCTCTAATTCGGCGTTACAGTTGTAAACGACTTTCATTTTTTTGCTTTCGATTTTTCTTTTGACGCGTACTACGTTACACTTTAAAGGGCCTCTGACACTCCAAAGAAATTCAAAATGCCCGCCAGTGCCCTGTGACGTAACAATGCACCGCAAGGTGTCGGGGCGGTCAGAAGGGAGGCATCAACTTACGTCACTAAAAGTGGGTTCGCCGGAAGTCACGCGAGTTTCACTCCTCGTGCTCTCCACGACCATGCCTAAAACTTGTTCTTTTTTTTCTTCTTTTTATTCTGGTCTTTTCCACGAGCGATCGTGGAAAACGAAGTTTCAGTTCCACTAGCTTTTTATCGCTGCACCATTGGTTAGTTTGCGTGCTGTAAAAGTTGAGGACGAAGAGTCAGTGGATCGAGTTGATGGAGGTCAATGATGAAAGCGTTGCGAGTACAAGCCACTGTACGAGTGCATGCCATCAGTCTCATGGTATAGAGCCATACTGGGAACACAACAAGGTATCGAGTTTTGAAGAAAAAAAATTAGAACGTTCGCAGAAATTTGGATTGCTAGCATACTACACGCCCGACCGCATTGCTGAAGGTTCAGACGCCGAGGTCGTCGAATCATGGAAACTCTCCAGGCTGAAGATGCCTGCCGTCTAGAGGACTGGCGAGTGTACCAAGTACAAGTAAATGTCGAGCATAAAGTACGTGTTTTGTCTAGAACATGAGCAGAACTTGTTTGCTAGGTTTACTTTTTACTGACTCCTCCTCTTCTACCTTTACAGCAACATTAGGCGATGAAAAGCAAATAAAAGAAACCTTGTCTGCTTGGATGGCTCGCGGAGGTGCGGAGAATAACAAAAATATTAAAAAAATTACACCATCGTCCCGAGGGGAACCATGAAGTGATGCGGAGCATCGCGGATTAACGGTGTTAGTAACGTTGTTGAACTTGACGGTCCCGAACGTCAGGTTCTGCTGCTCGACGTTCACGAACCAACGCGGCTTCCCGTTCTCGAAGGTCGGGTTCCGCCGCTCGCTTCGTACGTTTACGTTGAACTTCACGGTCCCGAACCTCAGGTTCTGCTGCTCGACGTTCTCGAACCGCCGCTGCTTCACGTTGTCGTAGTTCAGCATCCGCCGCTCGACGTTGACGAAAGGACGCCGCTTCTCATTGCCGCATTTCAGGGTCTGCCGCTCGCTTCAAGCGTCGCGTGCCCTTCGCTGCGCAGCTTTGTCTTCAGTGGACGTAGCGTTGCTGTAAAGGCCCGTTCACACGATGCATTTTTCTCGCGCATCTAGTGTCGCGAAACCTAGTTTCGCGAAATGGTTGCGCCGTCTGAACGAGTCCGAAAAGGACGCGCGCATCTAAAAAAAGTTGCGCGCACACCTCGCTTCTGGAGCGAGCTTTTGCTGAAACTTTGCCGAGTCCTGTCAATCACCCTGAGGGCGCCGCCAATGGCCGTTCAGAAAGGCTCTCACGTGGCCTTTGAGGGGGGAGCGAGCTGTTTGAGACCACTTAACTGCCGGTGTTGTAGCCGAGCCAAATTCGAGAAAAACCGAAACCACGAACGATGGATACTGCCGGCGCTTCCGCAAGCACGTCAAGCACCACTGAAGGAAAATTGAGTAGCATATCGGAAAAAAATCCAGCGATGGACGAAGACCTAATTGGTGATGATGATAATTCGCAGCTATTTTTAGTCATAATTAAGAAATAAAACCTTGAGACAAGGAAACAAAAAGGGACGTACACAGTACCGTCTCAAAACCAACACAGCGTGCAGCTCTCATTTACTTCCACAAGAGTCCTCTTCTTCGTCAACCTCCATCCAAATTATACATATTCAACAGTAAATAAAGTAAATGGCAGTAAATGACAATTTAAGAGTAAATGGAAGTAAATGACAGCTGTATGCTGTGCTGGTTTTAAGACGGTGGTGTGTATGTCCCTTTTTGTTTCCTTGTCTTAGGTTTTATTTCTTCATTATGATTGTTCACCAGCTCGCCTGCGTTTTGACTCTTAGAATGTGGCGGGAGATGGAGAACACGACGCTGAATGGCTAATGGTGATGATGATGATATTGGCTTTCAACTGAAGCGCCACTTTATGGTCAACACCCAAACTATTTTCGCGAGTCTGAACGTCATCGTTGTTGCACGTGAAGCGGTACGTGTGAACGAGCACATTTCGCGAAACTTGAGTGTCGCGAAACTGATGCGCGCCTAAAAGATGCATCGTGTGAACAGACCATAACTGACGGGACTGTTGCTTCCATCACACTTAATCGGAAGAACGAAGTGAAGTAGAGTCAACAGCGGTGAACTGAACGCGCGCAAAAAAAATTGGCTTGCTCTTTATGTTTATACAGCCTTGATGGAGATACGCCTCAACGGGTAATCGGTCTCTTAGCTGTAGATGAGAAATTTAGCCAGTGCGGTACAACCGCTAACCTGGGATTTTTAACGTGCATCACGCAGTAGTGATCACACGAACGCGTGCCGGTACGAAACTCATCCAGATCGAAACGGGCGGGGGCGGCGGGGATCGAACCCAGGAGGTTGAACGCGCGCAGCGCGCTACCGCTGCTTATATTCACACTTGAAGGAGAAGAGACTAGAGGAGGAGAGTTGCGCATGCGCGCGCGGTGTGAGTAGAAGCGAACGCACGCGAAGTGCACGCAGCTGGTAGAGAGAGAGAGCGGAGAGAGTAACGCGCAGCTGTTGGAGAGAGGGAAGGAGGAGAGATGCGCATGCGTAGTGTGAGTGCGGACTACGACGCCGCGGGACATAGACCCGAGCAAGAGATGCTCCGCATCTAAAAATACTACACGTGGTCGTGGTAAGCACGAGGAGTGATACAACTCACGTGACTTCCGGCGATGCCTCCCTTCTGACCATCGCTGCTTCTGCGTTGCTTCTGACCGCCCCGACATCTTGCTGTACATTTTACGTCACAGGGCACTGGCGGGCACTTTGAATTAAGCTTCATATTTTTTTTTTTTTTAACTACGCAACTCTAAATTGAATTTTTTTTTTTTGTGATGTCCTGATACACCGTTTTAGCGCCTACCTTTTTTTTTTTTGGGGGGGGGGGGGGGTGTGGGGGGGGGTGGGGGTGGAGGGGGGGCGTGTCAGAGGCCCGGGAGTTCCCGAGAAAAGAGAACTTTGTTTTTCGGCCTCGTTAATAAACTATACTCATCATAGAAAGCTTAATCTCTCAAAATATGAAGCTAGCGGTTGGGATAGAACGCGGAAGTTTGAGAACATGACGTTGCCTGGATTAAAAGATAACTTGGAAGAATGAAATGTTTCTATGAGCCGACATCCACCTAAGCCTAATATTGTCAAAACAAGAAATTATATTGTGGACGCTCGTGGAATTTATATCGGTGAAAAACCACTTGTCATCATAAAGATTTTTTTTTCTTTCTTGCTGACAAGCTTGTTTCACTGATATAAATACCACAAGCGTTCAGAATATAATTTATTGTTTTGCCGACATTAGGCTTAGGTGGACGTCGGCTCATAAAGAAATTTCGTTTTTCTCAGTTAGCTTTTGATCCAGGGTAACGTCATGTTCTCAAACTTTCGCGTTCCATCTAAAACGCTAGCCTCGCATTCTCACGGAGTTTGAGCTTTCTGCGATTCATAGTTTATTTACTCGGACCGAAAAACACGGTTCTCTTTTCTTGGGAACTCCCTGTATATTGTCACCACGGCGCCCTCATAGTCCTTGTGCGTTTGTTATCACCGGCTAAACCAGTCACTCACAGTGAATGCGTGGCGATCTTGCACTTTTTGAGGCGAAAGCTTTATATGTTTCATCGTTCAGTTGACCTTCAAAGTCCTTGAGCGAAAACACGTCGGCGACACGAAAAGTACCAAAACGTTTACGTGACCACTCATCAGGCGAATTAGAGGCAATGAAATTTAGAAAGATGACAAAGGCGAATTAAGAAGAAGCAAAGTGAATTCCTCGGAGTCGTCCTCTAGGCGTCGTTCTCGTCATCGTCCTTGAGGTTGTCCTAGAAGTCGTCCTTGACGTTGTCCTGGACGTCGTTCTTGACGTCGTCCTAGAG